CTGGAAATATGGAGTACTGGTAAGAATGTGGAGCAAGAGCAACTTTTATATGTTGTTATTAGTGATATAATAAGTACAATCATTTTGGAAAATTTTGGTATGATATGATAAAGCTAAAGATATGCATGTCCTACAAACCTGGAGTCATATAGAAAGGTAAAGACTCTAAAGAAATCTGTGTTCATGTGCTCTATGATATGTTTGTGCATACATAAACTTTCACAACAGCATTGCGTATAATAGCCTACTGCAAAAAACAGCAAATATGCACATCAATAGTAGAACAGGGAGCTGGGGATTTAGCTCAGCGGCAAAGCGCCTGCCTGGCAAGCACAAGGTCGTGAGTTCGGTTCCTGGTACCGGAGAAAAAACAAAAACAAAAAAACAAAAAAAAAAAACCCAAAAAAAACCAGTAGAACAAATTATGGTACATCCATGCAATATTGTAATGTACATCAATGAAAATCAGTAAACTACAAGCATATCAATATTAGTAAATCTTAAAGGCATAAGGTTGAGCAAAATTTCAAAACATGGTAAAACAAACTTACTCTATGACTTCACTTACATAGAGGTCAAATATAAAAATAAACTACATTGTTTAAGGCTGAGTAAAGTTGTAAAGAAAAGGCAGAAAGTGCAAAGTGTGGTGGCACATATCTGTCAATTCAGCATTCTGGGAAACTGAGGTGGAAGGATCACAAGTTCAAGCCCAGGCTAGGCAACTCAGTGACTTAATGAGACATCATCTCAAAAAGAAAAAGAAAAGAGTTTGGGGATATAACTCAGTGTGAAAGCCCGGGGTTCAATTTGCAGTGCTACTGAAGAAAGAAAGAAAGAAAGAAAGAAAGAAAGAAAGAAAGAAAGAAAAAAAGAAAGAAAGATAGCAACTATCTCCAGGTACTTGAGGGTCATAAATGAAGACTAAAGTCTTTTGAGAGGCTAATAATTTTCTACTTCAACCCAGATGGGTTATATGAGTATCTGGATTATAGCATCAAGTAGTATACTTCTAGTCCATGAACTTTTCTGCATATTTTGCTCTCATAAAACATAATTCTAATCTTTTCTTCATAGTTACTGATTCTTTGCCTAGTCAGATGCATTTATAGAGCCTAGCAGGAACTTAAGAGTTGTTACAGCAAGACTACAAAGAGAACAATTGTAGGGGTCCAAAATATGTCACCATGGCATAAGAATTATTTTGAACTGAAGGCATTTGAATTTCTGAAATCCTTTATCTGCCAAGAAATCAAAGATCCCTATTGTTATAAATCATCTTCTGGGAGCACTTCCAATAGGCTCAAGAGAGAAACTGGTATCACACCCAGACACCATTACAAAACTGTTCCAAAAATATGTCTTCTATCTCTTCTCCTAAGGGCCTATTTATCTTTCCAAAAAGTCATCTGTTTTTGTCTAAGTGCCCTTACTCTTCCTCCCCTCTTTTGAAAAAATCAAGAAGCACCTTCTGTCCCTCTCTATTCCTTATGAAGATGGTGTACAAGCCCCAAATATTAACCCCCTCTTGGATTGATAATTCTTTGTAAATACCCCTATGTGTGTGTGTTTGTTTTTTCTCTTGCTAATGTCTTGTATGAGTTTAATTTGCAGGGCCTTAAATAACCTAAGAGGATAGAGGAAATATTTTTCTTCCTGACACAACTGTCTTGAAATACATTTCCAAAGTAGGTTTCAAGAATAAAAAAGGCTTGCTGAGACTGAAACAGCATTTGACCCCTTTTCTCTCTAAGCCCTAGTTAAGCAAGAAAGGTGAAAAACACTTGAACCAAGAGGAGTGGAGAGACAAGGTGTTGGAACCTAACACTGAACAAAATTCTGGGGCTAGGGAGGCTGAAAGATAGCCTTCATAGGAGAGGGAAAAAGAGAGAGCATCTGAGTAGGCAGTGAGACATTCCAGCAAACAATAAGAGGCCTGGGCTAAAAGCCAGGAAAGCTGTTATCAGTGCACCCTGTGAGGGCTGCCTGCTGTCTAAATACAGTGTACCTTCTATCTCAGCCGTAGGATTAGTACCCATCTACTGGGCCCATCAGAAGCCCTCAATCATCTGACTCTTCTTCTATCTATATCCAACCCTCCTGAGGCAGGAGATTATGGCCTGGCAAGCGGGTGTGACCTGTTAATCACAGAAACCCAGGACAGTGAGCAGAAAAACTGTTTCTGAGCCCTGCACCTGGGATCAATCAAAGCAGGCTTTTGATAGGATAGCCTAGATCGGACATCGACCTGGGGGACATAAAAGACAGCAGCCACTAAACTTGTAGCCTTTAGACTAGTCCACTCTGCACTTTCCAGAATGTGTTTCTTTTCTGACCTTCAACTGGCCCACATTTCCTACCTTTAATAAATGTAAAACCTTGCTACCTTTTTGCTTGTTTTGACCAATTGTTTGTTCAGGGCAAGAACCTAGAAAGAATCTCAGAAGGACCCCACAGCACCCCAGACCCCCGCTAATACCACCATATGCGAATCTATCATTGAAGCAGAAAATAGCTTATTTACTTAGTTCGTAAGGCAGCTAGCTAGAGGAAGGACCCGAGATAGAGCTGGATTATCAGCTGTATTGGACCAAGAGTGAACTTCCTCAGGCAACATGGAAAGCAGCCTCTTCCCTACTAAGTTCCTGAGTTTTGAAAAATTTAAAATGCAAAATAACCAGTTTTTCTTTTTTCTTTTTTTCCCTGTAAACCTGTTTCCTTGAAACCCTACGAGCTGAAGAACTGGGTGAGAGAGCCTGAGTTCCAATTGGTCATTTTAAAGCCACAGTCACCTGTGATAGGTGGCCACTAAACAACTGAGCAATTCTTGTGCTCTGCTTATCTACAAGTAGCTCTGCATTGAGAGGACAAGTGGCCACCCACTTAGGGCCCTTCCGGAACATTCAGGAGCTATTATTATTGCCAATAAAAATCCTCCTGACATCCTTTGGTATGTGACTTGATTTCTCAACGCTCGGTTCACACAGGAACATCATCAGCACTAAGACCTCCCATTTTACCTCGTCAGCTGTTCCAATTCCCCCACTTGTTGCCATCTCCTTGCTCCTGTCGTTACTGGCCCTTTAGTTTCATGAGCTCAATGCTAGCTCTGAGATGGAGGGACCTATTTGCCTGTGGACAGTGGGCAAGGTCTTCTACAGTAAGGAACAGAGGGGAGGGGGAGCACAGAGAAATAATGCAAATCTCCACACTTGCTTTATCACAACCAGCGATCTTCAGCTCCTTGTCCCCTTTCTAGTGGAAAAGAAACTTCCCTTGACAGCCATCTGCATATTCTATTCATTCATCTGGATTGGGGAGAGATCTTGGAACCTGTTAATGCCGTAGGCCTCAGGAAGCGTCTTGTCTCTGAAGGAGAAAAACCTACCTAATTTACGAAGTTGTACTTCGGAGTTGGTTACACTATCCCAATTCACTTGAACTACAGCCAACAGCATTCAGCACTTGTAGATCTGAATTGGTCCCATGCTGGCCATGTGTCATCTGATATGTCAGATCCCTTCGCACCCTATACTCTTTAAGATTAGGATTTTTATATGGAGAGAGGCCCTGCTGAGTCTGGCCTCCAGCTTTATTCTGAAACACTCTCCTGCAACCTACACTTCAGTCACAATGGCCTCTTTCAGTTTCTTAGGCTTGCAATATTCTCTCCTGACAAAAGACCTTTAGTCATGATATTTATTCCCTGCATGTCCTTTCTCCACTGAGTTTCTGGTTCTTCTGCTCTCCATTTGAATGTGACTTTCAAGGACGCTTTCTCTAACCTCTCTGACAAGATCAATGAATGTACCTCCTCCACGCATCAAAGCACCTAATGAAATTAAACATATTAGGGGATTATTAGGTTTACTAGGGGATAAATCTTAATATTTGGACTCTGCTGAAGCACTACCTTCGCTGGCTTTCCTTCCCTGGCTGTTGTATTATTTAACACCTTGAATGTTAGCCTTCATCACAGCACTGTTTTTTTTTTTTTTGCAGTATTTCTCCCACTTGTGGCAGATGCTTTAGGACAGATGTTTTATCTTAGTCTTCTTAGCACTTAACACAGGGCCTTGTCCATAAATGTTTGGAATTGCTTCTTATGTTTTTCCCTTGGTATTTATTTCCTTGACAAACTTTGTGTGTGTGTGTGTGTGTGTGTGTGTGTGTGTTGCTGGGGAGAAAACCCAGGGCCTTGAGCCAGTTAGGTAAGTGCTCTATATCTTACCTACAACCCCAGCCCAAACCTTCACTTGATACAAAGGAGGCAGCGGTAAAGCATAACCATGTACATACTCTATACTTTGGTTTTGAAAATAATGCCTTACAAGGTGGTTGGGAAGATTAAGAGAGTTGCTGTTTCTCTCCCACTGCTGGCCAGGTTAACTTTTTGCCTTTCCTAGAGTAATTTTCCTGGGAATTTTGTCTCAGGTCTTTCTTTTTTTGCAATAGCTCGTGTCTTGTTAGCTCTTCTTTTCATCCCTATCCTGTTTTTAACCTATTTGACAATAGAACTTGACAGCTCAATCAAAATCAGAAAACAACATATTAGCAAGTGAAAAAAAACCATTAATTTCTTTTCTTAGGAAAGATCTTTTGAAGATAAGATTATCAGTATAGCTGCAGGGGACTTTTAATACTTTAAAACTTCAAAGGCTGAAAAACAAAATGGTTAAATTTCCCCATAAAAACAGGTGAAATATTTTACCACTTCTTTCTACATTTGTAGAATAACTGACCCACACTACACACTAAAATGTAGTTCTCTTCCCTTCATCCATTCAAGTTTACGGAGCTCTAACTAAACATTTCAGCATCTAGGGCAAGCAACTTCAGTAAATTATCCTGAAGCTTCCATCATAATAAATTATTCTTAACAACTGGATACATTTAGTTTCTTTCTTTACCTGTTTGTGTCGTCAAAGTTTAAACATAACATATTAAAAACTATTATGCTCTTTGAAAACCACAGAAGCTCTTTATTTTATAATACACATATGTAACTAAAATAGAAAAAAACATGAAAGATGTTTGCACACGAGGTAAAACATCACATGGGTTAAAATATGATGAAAATGTTCACTAAAATCTCTCCAGCCTTCTCCATGTGACCGTGTGCACACTCCTTTTATTTCTGTCATTCAAGTATCATTATAGCCCGTGGGCCCATGTGTCAGGCGGTTTGGAGACCAGTCTTGACTTTTAAGCAGGAAACACAGCTTTTGTTGCTACCCATGATTTGACAGCCCCATACCTCACAAGAGGCAAGTGTCATCAAATGACCCTTTTTGACGTCCAGGGGCGACAGAGGCCAGAGTACTCCTGGGGGCTTGGCAACATTTCCCCACTGGCACGTTTGGGAACTGGCCTCTTCTAAGCTGTGGGATGTGACCTTGCTCTGCTGCGGCTGATGACAGGTGATGGGCGACTCTTCAGAACAGACCCCTCCAGCCTCACTCCTCACTGCCCTTTGTTTTCGCCACCTCTCACCGCGGCGGTCTGGGACTACTAGCGCCACTGCCTGGGTTTTCTCTCTCCAGCGAGACTTGGCAGAACAGGGTTTAAAAGAATAAGACGCAGAGGAAGACTGAGAACTGTACTGATAACAGTTGCAGTAAATGGCAGTACCCTCTGCGACGTAACACTGCACACCCTCCACTATCTGCCCCGGCCACAGGCAGAGAATCCGCAGGCCGTAAGCCGGGATCCCCGCCCCCAGCCCGCTCCGCTTGGGTCACGTGACGGGGAGCGGCGCGCGCCGCTTGCGTCGCTGATTGGTTGGCGGGGAGAGCGCGGGGTTTTATGGGAAGGAATTGGCCGGGCCCGGCGCTCTGGCGGTGGCCGCTGCTGCCCGTATCTGAGTCCGGCTGAGCTGGCTCCCGAGCCCGGCAGGGGGGGACGCCGAGGCCGGGCAGCGCCCGCTTCATACAGGTAAAGCGCTTAAAGATGAAGGCAGTTGGGAGGGCTCATCAGAGAGGAGGCGAGCTGGGCTTTCCGCCGGGGAAATACAAACACGCTCCGGGTTCCGCACGGCCTCTCGCGGCTGCCCCCGCCCCGTGCCGGGTGGCCTAAGAGCTCGGCGGCAGCGGTGGCGGCCAGTTAGGCACCCTTGGAGGTCGGCGCTGACCTACGGGTGCCGCCTCGTCCCCTTGGTGTCCCAGCACGGTGGCCGTGGTGGCTCAAATGCTCGAGACCCTGTGCTGCCCCGCCAGGGCTGGTGGTTTCCCAGCCCTGCCCTCGGAGATTCCTGGTAGTGACCGGTTGGAGCCCCGGCTGCTGGCCCACCTGTGTTGAGAAGAGGCAGAAGGTTCCAGACGCGCACATCCCACGCAGAACTATCCGCTCTGAGTGGCCCGGCACATCTCCTTTTCCTGCGAGTTGTGCGGAGGCTCCACGAGTTGGAAAGATCGGAAGGGACTGAAACTGTCAGAGTCATGCTGCTCTGCTCGCGTGTGGGCGTGGATTATGTGCACTGCGAGAAGCAGCTCTACACCACTGTCCTTATTTATTTGGAGAGACGGCCGGCGTGAGGGGTGCAGGGAGAGGGCGAAGGGAGTAGGTGTAACGGGCGCGGCAGAGGAGAAGGGCAATCTAAGCCGTCAGTAGTTTTCATTCTTCAATGCTCCTTTTACGGATTGAGAGAGTTAGGAGTGGCGAACTCCGTTTTGCGGATGGTGCTCCCAGAGACCAAGCGAGACAGACCTGTGACTCAGTTTCCCATGTTGTGCTTCTTAGCTTCTGGTTTGTGGTGCTTCGAGTGTACTGTTTTCTTCTTACTTTGTGGCCTGAGTTTCACCCTGGAGAAAACGGATTGTGTTCAACAGCAGTGTGGCGGGTGTGACGAAGCTTAGTTTCTCAGATGTGTTCAGACTGGCCGGGAATGCTACTTTACTCCCTTGTCCTCAACAGCTCCCGTGGTGCCTTTTTAGGAGAACCAAGTTGATTTAAAATAGATTTTCTTAAACAAGAGTGGTGCTTTTAAACTGACATTTTTAAGGTTTTCTGTCACCTGTTGAGATCGGTTTAGTAAGAATGGTAATAAATTTATACAGTGTGTATTTTTTTTCTCATTCAGCTAATCAACTAGTCACTTTTTTGGGTATTATTTCAGAGTTTAACTTTACCTACCGTGGAAGGAAGCACTTCATTACCATATATTAAATTTGCTTTTCATCAGTTTCATTTTTGCAATAAAGGTGATGTTTTGGGATATTTCAAAATTGCCTTTTCAACCAGGATATTTAATAGAATTTTAGAACAAATCACTTTTAATCTTAACTTGTGTAGTACAATGTTATGGCTGGTGAGAATTCTACCACTGAACCAGCAATGCGGTACAGTGTTGTGGAAGTTCTGTTGAGGGTTACTAAATAGTTGGAAATTGATGCACATAAAACTAAACTTCCCTTGTTATTTTCTCCAGCGGCCTCCATAGTTATTTGAGTGAAGTATATGCAAAGTATTTTTGCTTTATTGTTTTCACTCTAGAATAATTGAGAACAGTATATTTTAGTAAAAATACCAACTAAGTTTTTTCAGTTTTTAAATTATGAAATAGGTGCTTTCTTTACAAGAAGTTAGAAAGAAAGGTTTCATTTAAGTACCACATGTGTTTTCTGTAATAGAAATAATAACGGCTACAATTTATTAAATGCTTACTATGTGTTGGATACTGTGCCAAATGATAATTTCAGTTAATCCATTGAACAGTTTTATGAAGTGAATTTATTTTCATCATTTTACAGACTGAGGCTTAAAGAGTTTAATTTGCCCAAGATCATATACTAGCTAATATGTGGTTGAGTCATATTTTGAATCCAGATATATTTTACTCTGTTGTTTTAATGTGATTTAAAGTCAGCTGAAAATTAAAAAAAAACAGTTTTTAGTATTTTAAATTCTGACACCCAAACAAGTGTGATAGCAGTTGGAAAACATTCCAACAAAATGGTGGACATTATTGTTCTTTGAAAAACACATTTATATATAGCAAGCTCTTAAGGTCGTGTCAGGTCACATTGTGATATCAGAGTTGAAAGAGACTTGTGCATATTAATGGAAGATTCTTGGGGATGAGCCACATGAAGTTGAGCCATTTGTCTACTCAAGGGCAAGCAGATTGATTTATGCTTCAAAAGGAAAGGCCGGAGTTACTTGGTTTCCATATATTTGAAAGAAAGCAGAGATAGGCTAGAAAATAGTAATGACCACGGCATTAAAAACAGTGTGCATTTAGTAATTATTATGTACTAAGTACTATGATAGTTCAGAAAATACTGTTATTTAAGTCTGTCAACATTTAAGAGGATTCTCTTTTGCAAATGAGGAAGTTGAGTAAAATAGAGGTTAAATAACTTATTTGCCTATAGTTTCGTAGTAAGTGATGGGCCACTGGAATTGGAATAAAGATGTTTGAATGGAAAGGAGCGACCAGTGGTTGAAAATAGAAATGTGAAACTAAATATTTTGGTATGCTGTCATGTCTGTTGAAAAATACCACCACATATGTATTATAGTAAATTTGCTTCTTTAACAAGTATCAGACTTTGATAGAAAAATTGCTGAAACAATGAAGGTTGACATTTTCTTTGACTATGAATATGAAAGCATGGATGTGGCTTTTTGATTAGTATCATCTTAATGTTGTTTTAGAGGACAAATTTAGAAGCATAATTCCCTGCTTCAAAAATCTTGAAGACTAAGCCATAGTTTGTTTCATTAACACCAAGACAATTTTCCAGCAAATAATAATGGTTATTAGTTGTGACATTATGCATATATATATCAGTTACACTATTTTTAAAAGTGATATGCAGTAAAATAAAAGCTGTATTTCCATAGTTCTGTTTCTAGCCAGAGCCATATGACTTTGCTGAATCATTTAGCTCCTCTTTAATGTTGAATTAAGTATTCAGATTTAATCAGATAAAAGAATTGGGCTACATGCTGCATTCATTGTGCTGTCTTGTGTTTGTAACTCACTTTCCACTTCTGTAGTTCTGTTTCCCGCTATTTGGGAGTATTAGAGGAGCTTTCATATATTTTATATATAAATATTCCAGACTAATCTGTATAAAGCAGCTTTCCTTTCTGATTTTGTGCTGTTGGGACTACCTGGTTGCTTTCTAAAAAAATCAAAACTAAAATGCTCTGGTTGTCCTTGCTACTTAGTATCATTAGGGTGTTAGCCTATTACTTCTCTACAGCTTCAAGTTCTTCATTTATAAAGTGGAGGAATGGTGGTAGCTACATGATAAAATTCATCTAAAGTATTGGTTTTAATGCCTTCTAAAGATGAAGGGCTGATTGTGTATTTGACTGTTACTGTTGTTGTCTTTCATTTCAGATAGAAATTCATGCGCTGGGGATATATTTCAGTGGTACATAGAGTGTGAAGCCCTGGGTTCAGTTCCTAGCACCACTCAAAGGAAAAAAATTTAGTCTTAGGATGTGTTAGTTTTTTGTTAATGACAAAATACCTGAGACAGCCAATTTAAGGAAAGATAACTTGACTCATTTGTAGGAAAATGGATACACCTCGGGACCAGAATGTTAAGTGAAATAAATTAGACAACAAGCTTAAATATCCCATAGTTTCTCTTACATGAGAAATCCAAATTATAAAGAGAAAAATAAAAGATAGATAAGAGGGAGTGAAGGGATAGGTCTTTCTCAGATAAGAAGGGGATCAGGAAATGGAAAGAGTGTGGGGGGGAAAAGAGATGAGATGGGAGTTACAATGTGTTATGTATATGTACCAACTATGCCCAAGGAATGTCAGCATTACATACTGCAAGCATGTAGTAATAGAAAAGAAGGAGGACAGGAAAGAGTTATTTAGGCTTCTGATTTCAGTTCATGGTTGACTAGTTGCATTGCTGTGGGCCTAAGGTGAGACAGAACGAGGCAGAAGAGCGTGGTGGAGTAAAGCTGTAGAGTCTGGAAATCCTGAAGCAGAGAGCAAGGGACACAACCAGAGAGGAAGGGGCCAGGGATAAGGCCATGCCCCCTTGACCCACTCCCTTGGACTAGACCTGCTGCCTAAGTTTTCATTACTTCCCAATAATGCCATCAAGTGATCTCACCAGTGGATTAATCTGCTGATGAAGTTAAAGCCCTCATGGTCTGGTTACCTTCTGAAAGCCCCACTTCTGAGCATTTGAGATTTTGCGGGGGCGCATTTTAGCTCTGAGTCACAATATAGGATATGCTGGCTATAAACTTTGTTAAAGGGGTATAATTTGCAAACCAAAATATATAGGTCAGTTGTAATAGTGGGATGATGCATAGTTTGAGAATATCAAGTGGTTCATCTGAATCTTTCCCGTATTAGTATATTAGTTTTATATGTAGTATATTTGTTTTTAATATATTAGTTTTAAAGTGTACTTTTACCATTTCAACTAAAAATGAAAATTGATATAATTGCTGAATGGCAAATTGATTTTGAATGTAGTATTGCTGAGTCTTATAACTAATTCGAGTCATGGAAAAACAATTAAAAGAAGTGGATATATAGCTATTTTAAATGAAGGTCAACTAGCTTGAAGAACTTAGACAAAATTTCAGAAAGAAATGTTTATTTGGGATGTTGAACAGTAATTACTGACAGGGCCAGAACTCTGAAGGAAGAGGAGTTTAAGGCCATACGTCTTCTGTGCTACTGGGCAAGTCACTAAACCTTAGGTGTGTTTGTTTGTTTTTTTAAAAATCTTTAAGGTGGTGATACTAAAAGCTATCTTGTGAGAAAGTGTTGCTGTTATTAATTCTAATTTACAGAAAAAAATTAAGGCTCAGCATCATTAAACGATTTGCTCAAGGTCACAGGCAGCCTTGTAACCCTTATAGTCTTACTCAGAATCTAATTGGTTTTCTATGATTACTTGTAAAATGTTGCTATTCTAAACATTGTAAAACACCCTTAACTTCTTTTTTTTTTTTTTGGTTTTGGTTTTTCTCCGGTACCAGGAACCGAACTCACGACCTTGCGCTTGCCAGGCAGGCTCTTTGCCGCTGAGCTAAATCCCCAGCCCACCCTTAACTTCAAATAACCAGCTTAGTTGGGAATCAGCTGTAATGGAAATAGTTTTATTTAGGTATGTAGAATGAAAGTAATATAATAACACTTTTGTTAAAAGAATGCAGAGGACCTACTTTAAAGAACAGAAAATCACAAAGTCATTTGACTAGACTTCTAAAATGCCTTGTTACTTAAAAAGGCTTTCTAGCTGTATTTTTACCTTTAAATATGTTCTCCCTTTGAAGAAAGGGTTTTAAAAAGGTTGATTTGATCCCAGTGGCTATCTGAATTCAAATTTAGAAATGGAGGTCAAAGAAATTAATATCTTACAGTATTTTTAGATAGTATTGCAACATCTAAGTTTTATACTGGGTGTGCTGTGTGTTTAACTTAAAATTTAAGAAAAATATTTGCTTTATTTCTAGTGTGACTTCCTTTGGACAACTGATGATATTTATCATTGTGCCACTTTTCTACAAATAAAAGATGGGTGGATTATTTTCTCGATGGAGAGTAAGTTACTTTTCTTTACTGCTAGTTCATAAAGTGTTCATAAAACTATTTGTAAAAGTCTTCTTTGTGGTGTAGCCTTCAGTTGTAGTTTGATATTATCTATTTAAGTTCTTTTAACTTTTTTTCATTTTTCTGTTCTGAATTGCTTTTTTATTTTGGACTTTTAGCAGTTGTGTAAGTGCTTACTGAATCTTTAAAAGAACTGTTTTTACTTTTTTTTGTGTGTGAAACAGAATTGTTTCACTTTGACTTAGGAATTATTTTTGTTTCCATATTTACATGTAAAAGTGGTTATCTTTCTTGTTTTCCTCTCATAAGTGCCTAAATTTTGAATTTACTTTAAAGGTGGTTGAAATTAAGCATTCTATACCATCCTTACATTTTTTACATACTCTTTTTTACTTAATGCTTGTCACATATATTTATTGAAATCACACTAAATATGCTTTTAAGAATTATAGATTAAACAAAAGTAAAAATATTGTTTGATTTTATTGAATAAGGCTTGGAGAATGAATCTCAAATTTAGAGCTAGAAAATATAAATTATCATGATAAATGCTCTGTAATGTTAGAGGAAATAATGTAGTCTAGGATAGATTGCTTATTTTTTGACTTAATTACAATAGTAATGGAGCCTAGCAGTACTTTCTACGTAATTTAGTTTTTGAATATTGGTAGACAGTCCATGTTTTGACACCCTCCCTTTTCTTTCTTTTTTTAAATTGACAGATAAAATCATATCATATGTATTTGTTGTATACAACATGATGCTTTGAAGTATATACATATTGTGGAATGATTAAATCTAGCTAATATATATTTTACCTCATATGGTTATCATTTTTGTGGTGAGAATGCTTAACGTCTACTCTTAGTATTTTTCAAGAATACAATAGCTCATCATTAGCTGTTATATTGTATACTAGTCTCGAACTTAACTCTTCTGTCGTTTTGTATTCTTTGATCTCCAACCTAACACCTCCCTCAGGTTCCCTGGATTCTACTATTTCTATAAAATCAACTTCTGATTTCACATGTAAATGAGATAACCCCCACTTCCTTAAAATCTATGGCAGTTCTGTCCGAGGGCCCTATTTATATTTATCTCTTTTTCCTTTGTCTTACTAGGTTGAACTGTATGAAATTACCAGTATTCTGTTTTGACTTATAAAATTGCAATTTCACATGGTTCAACTTAATTTTAACAGCTTTTTTGAGAAACCACAGTGAGTGAATATTTGTTATTCTTTCGGATTGTTGAGTTGGTAAATATTTTCTTGAATATTATTTGGCCATTTGGTTTTTATGCTAGGTGGTATAAAATCTTTGACAAACTGCCATAATGAAGTATTATACATACTTTAGGAATTGACAGTGAAGATAACTTACTGATTTTGACTTCTTGAGTCCCAAGTGAACTTTCAGCGATACTGTTTCAGACCATCTTAGTTTGTGGATTTTTAAGTATGTGAATTAATTTGTTGGTTGTGGTGCTGGGGATGGAACTCAGGTCCTCATGAAGGCCAGGCAAGCACTCTGCCACTGAGCCACATCCCCAGACCAGGAACTCTTTTCAGTAATTGTTGTCTAAGAAAATTTTTTTGGAGCAAAGTTTCTTTCTCTATATAATGGTATGTTCTGTTGAGGTTAAGAATAGCAAAAGTTGAACTATCAGAGTTGAAATTGGTTCTAGGACTAGAAAATTAAGTAGAAAAAGACTTTAAAATGTTATATAGTTTTGTTTGTATTTTTTTTCACTTAAATAAATCTTAGTTATGAATAAACAAGAATACATATGGTATGACAACATTTGAGCAAAAAGTAATTCTGAATTAGGATTTTTCTTTTGATTATGTAACCAAAGTGTTGTAAGCTTGCAATAACAGGTTTTAATGCTGTTTCTAATTTCTGTTTCTGAAACAGACAAAGCCTTCAACTGTAGAAGTTCTAGAAAGTATAGACAAGGTATGTTCTTTGGCTTGGAAGTGTTTTAATTCATTTGAAGTATTAAGTAAATATTATTTTAGTATACTAAACACTGTTTTGGAGCCTAGATCTACTATGGGAATTTAGAGTTATTGTAGAATAAACCTATGAACTTTGTAACATGATGTCAAGAAAAAAAATCTGAAGTCATCAATGATTTAATAAATCCTGTATCAAATAACAGGAACCTGTTAGAATGAAATTGTATCTATAGTCTGGTATGAATCAGTGTTACAGATTGGTTAAAATAGATTATAATATAATCTGCAACAATTTATATCAGCCTATAAAGTGTATATTTTTTCAATATGAAAATGTTTATTCCCTGGAAGTATTGGGAGTAGTGAATAGATGAAAGAATCTAGTATGGGCTAATGTTTTAATTTTTATTAATTTTTTTATTGCTAGATTTTTTTTAAAGACTTTATATATGGAGAATCAGTACTTGTTTGACTCAATAATTTTGAAATTTAGTAATATGGAATAATTTTCTCTTAACAGGAAATTCAAGCATTGGAAGAATTTAGGGAAAAAAATCAGCGATTACAAAAATTATGGGTTGGAAGATTAATTCTTTATTCCTCAGTTCTCTACCTGTTTACATGTCTAATTGTGTACTTGTGGTATCTTCCTGATGAATTTACTGCAAGACTTGCCATGACACTCCCATTTTTTGCTTTTCCATTGATGTAAGTAGATTGTTCTTTTTGTTTATCTTTCCTTTTCCTGACCATGTAGTTTGAACATAGTCAGTCTCATTTTAGCATGAAGTAATGTCTCGGATTGAATAAATTTGGGTTATTTTTGCAAGTTGAAATGGAAAAATTATTTTAAAGCTTTATTTATAATCCAGCATATTAAGTAGGCCTATTAGTAATAATGATTCTATCTGACAATATTCTGTGGTTCTTTAATAGGTAGCCATGATCCTGTAGAGGTTTTGGGCAAGGAACAGGGAATGATGACTTGGGGAGGGTTTATAAAACCAAAATAGCAACCTCTCAAATGACTGAATATATTCTGTTTTATCCCAATCTCTTTTTTTTAATCATTGCTGTGGGGCTATTGACCCTTAAGTATTTTATAATATAGCACTTTATAGGAGGTACATCATTATTGAGAATTTTGAGAGAGAATTGAATAAAAAGTCTGTTCATTCAACAAACACTTATGGGTACCAATTGTGGAGACATTGGATTATAATGTATACAATAGTACAAATTTCTGACTGTAAATATTAGGATGCATATATTGTCATAAGTGTGATAAATGTTATGAAAGAGAAGTTAAATACCCCAGGAGCATTTAACAGCATGGGGATAAAGGCCAAGGAAGAGCTTTGGTATTCGTTTCCATTGCTGTCATTCCATTGCTCTAAATTGCGCAGCTTAGGGTAACATCCATTTATTGGTGTTCTGCAGGTCGGAAATGGAGGTGGCTTGACTGGGCCTCTGCTTAGATTTTCATGAGCCTAAGTCAAGATATCAGTTGGTTTGTGGTCTTACCTAGAATCCTAGGGGTGGAATCTGCTTCTAGGTCCAGTCAGGTTGTTGGCCACCTTATACTGCATCTTACTTACTATTTTGTCCTTAGCTGGGAGACAGCTTTGTTGTTAAGAGCTCAGGTGATTATATTAGACCCACCAGGATAATCGGATAATCTCCCTATTTTATTTTATTTTATTTTATTTTATTTATTTATTTTTTTATTTATTTGGTTTTTCTCCGGTACCAGGAACCGAACTCACGACCTTGCGCTTGCCAGAGCAGGCGCTTTTGCCACTGAGCTAAATCCCCAGCCCTATCTCCCTATTTTAAAATCAACTAATAACCTTAATTACTCTGTGAGTGCATAACCTAAGGTTGGAAATATTTGGGGTGCGGACAAGGTATTGTTAGAATTTTGCTTACCTCAGACCCTTAGAGGAACTGTTGTTTGAGTGTTAGACCTGAAGGATATGTATAAGTTCTAGGCTTGTGTGACTTGGTGGACCGAGTGTTTTAGGCTAAAGAGACAATGTGCTAAACAGCCCTGAGGTAAGCAGCCATGACACACCTTTCAGAGCTTTCAGGTTTGAAAATACCTCGCTGTAACATGTGTGGTATAGGTTTGACACTACTGGGCTAAAGCATAGTAGGTTTAAAGACTTGAGAGCAAAAATATAATCTGAATTCTACAGAAAAGGTGGGTAGTTGGCCAAATATTTCATGTGGGCCCTGTAGTTCATGTAGTTCTTGAGGACATTAGGCTTTAAGATTGATGGGGATGATATTGTAGCCACTGAGGGTACTGCATGGAGAATAAATTAGCGGGGAATAGTAGGGAGTTAAAAGGTTGTTTATTTATTTATTTATTTATTTATTTATTTAGCTTTGGTACTGGAAGTTGAACTTGGGGCCTTGTACTTGGCAGTTAGATGCTTATGCTGCTGAGCTATATCCTTGCCCCTAAAAGGTTATTGTAGTTAATGAGAAAAATGGTGATGATTTTTACTTCAGTGGTGAGATTAAAGAAAGGAGATGGATTGAGTGAAGTAGATGGATTGAAGAGATTTAGAAGATAGAATTGAGGTAATATGGAGACATTTGGTGGTTGATTGGATATGGCATGAGACGGAAGAATCACATCAAGTATAAAACTCAAGTTTATGGCCTGAGAAATTTGGTTGATGGTAATGTTCTTCATGTACTTAGGAAACAATGTTAGAAGGAGCAGATTTGGTGATTCCACTGAGACTGTTCTTGAGATACCTGACAAGTGGGTAGTTCAGTATGAGTATGAAGCTTAGAGAAATTTGGAGGGGAGATATAAATTTAATATTACATAGCTTATAGATGTTAATTGAAGCTGTCATCTCTTAACTCATGAAATACGAGGCATTTGCAGTGTGTTAGGTATTGGGTTAGAGGCTAGTGATGGAGAAAGTGGGAATAAAGAGCTTACATTCTACTAGAGTTGGAAAGACAAAAAATAGCAACAAGTAAAACAAAGAAATAGTAATTTAGAAAGAGATAAGCGTGATGAAGAAAATAAAGTGATTTGAAAGAAATAGGTTATTTTTGGATAGTTCTGGAAGATCTCTTGAGGAAGTGGTATTTGAATTGAGAACTAAAAGATGAAGAAGAACTATTGGCAAAGCTGCAATTTATAAAGGTTGTAAGTCCAGGAGTTGAGGGAACAGAGATCAGAGTATGCAAAGGCTGTTACCAGAAGAGAATATGACAGAAAAAAGAGACGTGTATTTGGAATATGTGATGGAGAGGAAAAGTGATATGAAGTAAGTGTGTAGAATCAGGCAAGGCCTAGATCATGGTGGGTTAGGGTTAGTGACTTGAATTTCCTTTTATGTGAAATGAAAAATTGGTAGAGTAGAAGAAGAATTCGATGAAATTTAAGTTAAGAAGCACATACATGCTGTCATGTGGAGATTGAGTCAGGGGGAGCCAGAACAGACGTGGAATCTGTTGTAGAAGTTTAAAGATGAGGATAGATTGGACTACTTAGAAACACTGCAAGTGAACAAATGACTTGGAGATATTTTGAAGAAAAGATTGATGCCAAGAAAGGGAAAATAAAGGAAGAAATCAAAGGGGATACTCTTTTGGTTTGAAATTTGGTGGAGGTAGGAACTTTTTTTTGGGACTGCTATAGTAAAAACGTGTTTAGTCTTTAGTGTGGGGCATATTTTCAAATGGGAACTTTTGAGGTTTATAAAATTTCAACTCTGTGTGTATGGTTTTTTAAGCAGACAGTAAACACGGAAGCTGAAATTGAGTTTATGATTAATACTGCACACCTACCTCCCTGTCTTGGTTACTTTTTTTCTCGCTGCTGGGACAAAATACCTGATGCCCAAAATTAAGGAAGGAAAGGTTTATTTTGCTTACAGTTTGTGGAGGTTTCAGTCCGTACTTGGCAGATTATAAGGCAGAGTGGCACATGGCAGAGGGCTGCAGCTCCTGGCGCAGAACACAGCAAAAGCAACCAGCACACACCAGGGTGGAATGGCCTCAAGCACACTTTTCCTCTCCCTTACATATGCAAACTATCCACCCCAGGGCGGGTGTAGCTCTCACACCCATACTCAATCAAACTCTAAAAGCCTGCTCCAAGGCCGCATGAGGCTTTGGGGGAACACCCAGACACAAACCATAACACTCCCCTTGCTTTTCTGAGCACTCAGGATTAAATTAGAGCCTCATACATGGTTGGCAAGTGCTTTACCACTAAAGTACACCACCACCCCTTCTAGTTTATCTTTCTTCTACTTAGAAACCTTTTGGAAGTGTTTTTTTTTTTTTTTTTATGTCAGGCATAATAGTGCATTTTATAATGCTTAGCCTCCTTCATTTGTATCCTTTTTATTTTTTCATAAAAGAAGAGAGAAATAAATTTAAAAGGAATAAGTATGAGATAGCTAGTTTGTTAAAACCTCTTTTTTTTTTGTCTTTTTGAGACAGGGTCTCTGCTACGCAGTTCAGGCTGGTCTTGAGCTCCCTTTGTAGCCCAGGCTGGTCTCGAACTTGCAACAGTTCTCCTGCCTCCCGAGTGCTGGGATTGCAGGCATGTGCCACCACAGCTGGCTAAAGCCTCTTTAAATATTTAAACTCCCTTTAGCATCTATTTGTGTATAGAAATGGATTTTCTGGTTAAAAAGAATTTCTATCCAAACCAGGCATGGTGATACACACCTGTAATTTCAGCACTCTGGGTGATAAGGTAGGAGTATTACAAGTTCAAGTACAGCATGGGCAATTCAGCACGAGACACTGTCTTAAAATAAAAGTAAAAAAGGCTGGGGATATATCTTAGTATGAAGACCCTGGATTTAATCCCCAGTAACACACACGTGAATTTAGATCTAGTTCCAGAAGTATATTTGATAGGCAGGTGTTCTATCACATAGCTACACTGTAGCCCTGATTTTTTTTTTTTTTTAATTTTTTTTTTTAAACAGTGTTGGGGATTTTGTAGTGCTGGTTAATTCTGTTTTAAAATAGAAAACTTCTTTCTTTAAAAGTATAGTTTTTTTCAGTTGGATGTTGCTGCTGTTTTGAATATGAAGCTTTTAAAACCTTACTGTGTCTCTCTGCCATGCGTCACATCCATCTAGTATTTCTTGACTTTAAACTTCAGAGCCATTTCTTGCTTTGTCTTACTCACCTTTGTAACCTGATTGTCAACTCTTGTAGCTTCTGTTTCAGTGAGCTCTTCACTTTTAGAAGCATCCAGTTATCCAACAAAGAATAGAATTGTCCTTCTGATTGATGACAATCAAAAAAAATGAAATAAAATACAACAATGTGAAATTGGAGTTTGCTTTAAATAGAAGATTTACCATAGGACTTTTTCTTTTCTTTTTTTTTGGTTTTTGGTTTTTCTCCGGTACCGGGAACCGAACTCACGACCTTGCGCTTGCCAGGCAGGCGCTTTGCCGCTGAGCTAAACCCCCAGCCCCCTTTTTTTTTCATTATTTATTTCTTTTTATTTTAAAGAGACAAAAAGAGACAAAAAACAAAAATGATACAGAATTTCAAAACAAGATGATAGGAAATTAATAATGGTTATTATATTACATATTGTTATCTTCAAAGTAATTGATCAGATTACCAAGTACAGACATACAAAATTGATCAAACAATATAAGCACTAACTGCTCCTTTCAATGAACTAATAGAAGTTAGTAGTA